ACAGTTTCCTGACAGAATCTCAGTGTGAATGAAGACAGAAAACCAGCAGTTTCGTTTCTGAGAGAACCTCCTCTGTTAATTTCAGTTCTTTAAAAATATTTTGGTTTGAAATGCAGTTCAGTTTACGTTTGTGTAGATCAACCAGAAAAAAAAACTTATTAAAAATAGACATCACCACCTGTTACTCAATAATGGTAAAAAAAAACTAACCACATCAGTATTTCATAGGGAATGAGAAGATGGAAAATGCATACAATATGAATCGGAATCTGTTGTCACAGAAGTGCTTAGGAAAGGCTCTCTCATCTGATAGGGCAAATTTGAATTTACACTGCTCTGGATGTGCACACAACCATATGAGAAAACTCCACTGTGTAATCGCCTTGCCCTTTTAAAAATATATACCTCAAGCATCATATACAATTCAGAACTACATATATAGTAAATTCTCAGTTGCGACGCCAATGTGGGTTACAATGTCTTTCTGGTTTTACAATGTCAGAAGCAGAGTTCTAGCCACAGGATACAGATGAATGAAAGTGAGAAACGAGCCTGTCATTCTAGTACGTTTTTTTCTCGGTAAGAAATGTTGATCATATCATTTTTGGTTTTGAAGAAATAACTGTTTCAACGATTCTACAGAATTAGGGTGTAGTGTGTACGGCTCACATGTAACACAATTCTCAAATTTGTGTCTGTGCACTCATGGGGACATAAGAGATGCTTTTGCTACAGGTTGTTATTATTTAAAACGAAAAATTGCGGTTGAAAGTCATCCTTTTGCCATCGACGACCCCGGACATGGAAGAAAGATCAGCTTCCCCAACCTTTTAAAAGCTGTTTGGTGTTTCTGTGAAGTGAAAAGGTGAATAAATTAAGCTTCTTGCAGTGAGATCTACTGCATGATAATGTATGACACAACTGCACGCTGTCGCATTTCCTTGTCGAGGAAGTCAGGCCCAGCCCCTCCCCCCGTGCTTGGTAAAATAAAGATCCTCCGCTACATTGCTGCTTTCTTTCACATTTTCTAAGAAACGTCAATAACGCCGAGGACAAAGAGCACGTAACTTCACTTTCCAACTGCTCAGCGTCTGGAGGTGAACTTGAATTCTTGCATTAGGGATCTCTCAGGACTCAGGTTCCACAGCACGTGTGACTAGCTGCAACTTCAAGGTAAACATTAGGCCATACCTTAAAAAAAAGCTATTCAAGTGTTTTTTTTTAGTGCAAAGGACCATTACTGGCATGCCGTGTGCAAAACATCACACCACATGATGCTACAAGCAAAGGTTACAGACCACCAGCAACCACCCAGCCTTACCAACAATGAAGCATTTATTGACACAGTCCAACAGATAAGTAAAAACTTCTGATTTGAATATAAAAGCATGCTGTTTGGCACACAGGACAGGCTCTAGTATTATATAGTAGGGTCTGTGTCTGCACGAGACAGATGTCCTCCAGTCTCCAAGCTGTGTCACAATGTGTGATTGCTTCTCAAAAGTTTCAGTTCATGAGTCTGAGAGAGAAAAGTCCCTGATTTCCATAGCAAATGAGTAAGTTCAGAAATCAATGATTTTCACAGCACAGCCTCTTCCTGAGTTTCCACAGCATGTTTTTCAAGAATGGCTGGCTTGGAGCATACTTGCATTATGTTTAACGCCAAAGAGGATGATAACAAAATCGTAAAATTTGAACAGCCAACTGATCTTCATCAACCTGAATGCAATTGCACTCTGTGAATATAACCAGGTGTTTCAAAGGTTAAACTTTGTTATGTTTACATAAGTCACTTATTAAAATGCACCACTTTGCATGTCTATTTCAGTAGTATAAAGCTTCTTGCTTGGAATTGAGAAGCACCAACATCTGAAACACTGGAGATATCGACAAAGATTTAAAGCAAAGAAAAACAGAAGCACTGCTTGGGTCCTACTATTTTTCTGTGCCTTCAAATGTAGTTAAATCCAGTGTTGTTACTCATTTAAATAACAGGAAAAGACACAAAGTAGTTTGGTGTTGCTGTCCTGTGGCCGTTGGGTTCAGGACTCAATTGGTTCATCCTCATGTGCCTTCTGTTGGGAGTGTGCATGTTTTCCTCATGTTCATATTGTTTCCTGCAAAGGGGATCTCTAACAATCCCTGTGTGCCATAGACCTACAGTGGACTGACATCTCTGCTTTTTTTTGTTTCAGGGATAAATGTAACAGAGATGTTCAGAATTACTAACAATTAGTATTTCTTTTCAAGGCTCTTGTAGGATGTTGTTCTCGTCGTTTGAAATGCACTCTGGACCCGTGCCAGGTTTCTGCTCTGGGATTCCTCGGAAAGCTGTTCTCCATTCACAGTAATAACTGCTGCCTAACGAGGCGTTGCTGTGGTTTCTGGGCTCTGTCTCCCAGCCGCTCGGCCCCAGGGAGACACAAGAAAGCCCCCAGAGAGGGAAGAACTGGTGGAGCTCTCATTTCTATCAATTACACAACCAAAGGTGTCACCCCAAGACACCACCACAGGGCTCTCTGCACTACTGCACTCTCTGTGGTAACCTCACTCCCTCACAAAACCTGGGCTGTCTGTGATGAGGGAACACTCTTCTAAATTCAGTTGGAAAGTCAGTCGATAAGTTTCCCCTGGCTATGTTTTCATGACCCAGCCTGTTTGTGCGCCTGGTTAATACAGCCTGAAAATACGTAATTGCAGTGTTTTAATAAGATTATAGAAATCAAACCGGAAAGAGAAAGCAGGAGAACAGTGGATAAATAGATTTTGTTTGATCAGGCAGGCAGAGTTTTTCTTACCAACTGCACTTTCTCAAACATTGACACATGGGCATGCGTCGTCATATTTATTTTTGCTATTTCAAGGTTCTGAGTGTTCTGTCGTACACTATTCTTGCCAACTCACTTTATGTCCCAGAAACTTTACTGTCAGCAGGCACTGCACCAGACTGCAGTGGTTAGGGATCTGCACTCATACTGTACTTTTCCAGTAAGATACCCGGCAATATGTACCATATGGAGGCAAATGTAAGTCACTTTGGATAAAGCATCAGCCAAATAAGTTGGTACGTTCAACTCCCTGATATACTTGTGTGCTAAAGCTGTTTAATCAAATTTAGAAATATTCCTTACAAACAATAGCTTGGCAGATCTGGTCATGAGGAAATGCTGGGAAGAATGGTACTTTGCAGTGCCTTGGAGATAGGACACAGGGTCTGCTTGGAATCTCAGCTGATACCTGTTATTTGCTCGTACAGCTGTTCACATGTCAGCGGTTATGTCCTGTGAGATCTAGTGCTCAGTTGCTCTGTATTTCTTTCTCCTTATACCACAGTCCCTGGGAATACAGGGTAACCATGACCGCAGTCCACCTGCACATGTGAACTCCGTACTCGCCCTGTAGAAGCACTGTCCACTGAGCCCTGGGCAGGACTGTCTTTCCCTACACACCTTCACATGGGATGGGGTTTCTCGGGAAATACAGGTGTCGGAAGAGTGCGTTCACAGCGACAGCCTGAACATTCAGAAACATGGACAGCAGGAGCAATACAATTTGAAAGACAAGAAAACCCCTGTCCATGCAACGTTTTTCTGCCATCTTTAATATAGTCATTGTGGCGAGTTTTTCAGTTCTCAGCAGGTCTCAACAGTCAGTCACAATGTCTTTGTTGTTATTTTTTTGAGTCCTCAATTTCAGCTTTGTTTTAGCTCTTTTTTCTTCTTTATTTGTTCATAATGAATATACATATGTGCAGCTACATTTTGTAGGTATATTTTGAAATCGTTTGTATCCCCTATTGCTAGTGCAGGTGTAAATCTGAAATACTGTGTGTTCAGCTGTGACTTGATTGTTACGATCTGGTCTGACCTGACTAGTAGCATTGCAGAGCTGTGCACAAAATATAGGATTGTTTTCTTTCATTCTTGATATTCTAGTTCACAACTGAAATGGGTGTGTTTGTTCATGTTGCAGCAGGTCAGATTTAAACACAAAGTAGAAGCTTTAGAAGATATTATTCCCTATTCCTATACCAATGGTTATTAAAATAGCTGAAGAACATTTTTGTGCGCCAATTTGCCAGTCACAGCACATACATCAGTATAATCTAGTATGTGTATTTACGCATTATTATTTTAAATGTTGTTATTTAAAAAGTAAACTCTTATCTGCTGCCAAATGTAGGAATACTTCCACAGTGCTTTACAGAAGGAAACTAGGACAGTGTACCAGCACTTTCATGCATTTAAACCAAAACACAAGCCCTTAAAACATTCACAGCAGTAGGTTTAAACTGTTGTGATGTTGCATTTATGCTATTCTTATCTCTGTGGGAAGATGTTCCACTTGTTTGTCTGAATCCAGAGCAACAGTCCCCAAGGAGTGTACGGCCAGCAGGTTTGCTCTGTGTGGGAGAAGACCAGTCTTTTGGTTTCACTTGTTGTTTTCAGCTAGTGGACTTCCTGTTACTCCGAAGGCCTGCATTTCACAGTGCATAACAGTAGCCTTGACAACAGCACTGTAGATAAGCGATTACACAAGGGAAAGCAGAATTAACCCTGTACTGCCTGTTTTTTTCTTTCCCGCAATGGAAGTCTGAAAAAACGATGATGTGAGAATGGGCGCAATTGATTCAACGAAGATGACACCAGGTTAATTTTTTTTTGTACTTAGGTACAACTATGGAAGTAAAAATGAGGACACACTAGACATATTTAAAAATAGACACAATTGTTACAAAGGGAACATGTTGATGAAGTTTAAATTGGAAAATGCCCTTTTTTTCATGGTTTGCTCCCACTTATTTTTTTTGTTGTGCTTCATTTCTAACGCCACCCTGTTCGTCTTGTTCTCCCATGGCAGGACAGGACATGTTGGGCCTTTCAGAGTTTACTTTGCACGTGGTTCGTATTCCATCATGTGTGTGTTTATACACTGCTGTGCAAATGTTTTACCGTTCAAAACGTGTATGTTACGAGGACATTACTGACTCAATGTCCATGAGTAATCAGTTGTTATTGATTATAACAAGTAAAACGAGTTTTGTACGGTTGAAGCAACTTTGATACAGTAGTTAATAATTCTGCTTGGTTTGAGTGAGAATAAAACAAAGCCCGTTGTTCAGCTGTTTTTAATTCAAACTGAACAGAACCTTCCAAAACCTAATCACAATACATTGAGGGAAAATATACATTAGCAGTCAAAATCCAATTGACTGAGAGATATTCATTGCAAAAACATTGCAAAAAACAAGTCTGTCAGGTTTACTTGCCGCTCCAAACAAAAGAGCAGATGTTTCAGTAGAAGATCAACATATATAGTGTTTCTCTATAAAGAAAAGACAAGAGTTGAAAACAGAAGAATAATGAAAAATATCCAAGAAGCATTCATCAGAAGAGTGAATAAAGAAGAGAATGGAAGAATGTCAATTTGAATGAATGGGTGGATTCACTGCATTTAGTGAATGAATGAAATAATTAACTGGTGATCGAATGAGTGAGATGATTAACTAGTGAATGAATGCCTAATTAACCTCCTATAAGCCTCTGACAGTTTGCACATAAAAAAACGAATAAGCGACCCTTACCTTTATTTCCACATCTCTTGTCATCGCATAACGTCATACTCCGAAAGCTGTGTGCAGGCCTCTGGCTCAGGGGGTAATGTGGACAGCTTTGCTAGGGTGTAAAACTTTCTGACAGTAGCTGAAGCACAATAACAGCCTCCGTGTCTTCTAAAATGGATGATAAACGCTTGTGCAGACGAGTGGCTTGTGTGTATAGCCTACTTTCTACGGAGGGCTTCCTACGTCTTATAAAAAAGCTATATACCATTGTACAATATAAGGTTAGTAATAAAGCACAGTGACATCATAGTAAAAGTATGGCCAAGCACAGGCAGCACCGCCATTGGAAAACGCTGTTGTTTACAAGAGCTCTTGTAAAGTATTCACCGTTCATCTATAAAACGCATGGCTTCCGTAGCTGTCGTAATACTTTACAAAGAGCCTTGACGTCCAACAGGATTTAAACTGTGATGAATGCCCCCACCTAGTGTCCTCACAGGGTAATTCACGAATTTCCTACAACCAACACTGAATTCCGGAGGAGGCTGTCGAGGGACGTCTGCAAACGACAGGATATGAACTGTAAGTAATGCTAATTATTCTGAGGAAGTCGAAATTGAAAACATAAGACAGTAGAAATACAACGTTTCGGCTTTTCCTAGCTGCTACAGTGTGTTCAGCCTGATGTTTTCTTGGAATGACCACTTCTTAGAAGGGTTTTGGTTGAAGTAGCTCCTTAATATATATATATATTTTTAATTATTCCCCGAACTAGAGACTTTCTCTCTCGGTGTTTTTACCTTGTCTGAAATGTCCTGTTTTCATTCTTGTTGTACGGTATGTGCACTGCAGTCTAATACATATTTCTATATTTCATCTTCTCCGTTCTCCACTTCTTTCTTATTGCTGTGTTTACTCGTATAATCGTTCAAAAACCTCCTCTGAGTTACTTTATCAGCTCCTTCCGAGAATGTTATGGTTTCCTAATGCATTATCTAATTCCAGGTACAGGAAGCCAATACAACCTGCAGTACGATATAATAACACGATTATAGATGTGCTAATACCGGGTTTCACCACAGCATTTTTGTTTTGTACTTTTAAATATTTGTTTTTAAGACACGCTTATCTGAAGCTGGCCCTGCCTCTGTGTGTTAATTGAACTTTCTCTTAAAGCCTGCGCTTGACAGCAGTTTTTTTTCTTCTTTTTTTTTTCGTCTCTAAATCTGGGATCAGCCGTTGTTAATGACTGTGGTGCAGCTCGGGGATTGAAAATCCGGTGTATTACGGAGTAATAAAGACGACGTGCGCCGTCTGAAGCACTGCTGAGCGACTGCTGCTATTCCTAGAGACGGCCGCAGAGGAGCTAAACTCAGGAAAACTACCTATTCATGACCTACAGGGGGCGCACGATGGCGCACTAGTTCGCAATTACTGGCTCAGCCTCAGCAGATACTGTAGGCTGTGGGACCTCTAGTGTTGTTTACGAATCGGAAATCAAAGAATAGTATTTTTGCCTGAAATTTACAGACACAAAGCACGCTTCAATGTAAGCTACTTACAGTATGTCGTGCTTTAAATACGTAAACTGGCTTATACATTTTAAGGCAGTTATACTTCATACTTCACGTATAATTTTGCTTTGACCTAAGAAACCTTTAGTTTATTGACGTTATATAAGTTTATTTTAATAATACTGTGCTTTCAAAGTATTTCGTGAGTTACATTTTATGACTTGCTTCAACATGATTTAAGTACAGTGTGCTTATATTGTTTCTATATGTAGATTTGGAACCATCTACCTTGACTCTTTCCCTACAAACCTGTACGAAAATCATGCTACAGTATATGTAATGTCAATGTACATGATGATTCGGAAAACGTGTCATTTTTTATATAGCTGGATATTTGATATACTTCTCTATATACTATTTGTGTACACTTGGTGGTCTTGGATTATAATAAAACATGGTGAATGAGGTTTCTTGACAGACTTCAACAGTGAAGATGCTTGTTATAGTTCAGGCATCAGAGATTCGGGTCCGACTGTCCCCTTAGCCGAGGACAAGCAGAGACTGAAGCCGCATGTAAAGCCTTTTGTACACGAGGGTTAAACGCCTACATGGTATTTCGAGACCTTGTGTGTTGTAAAAATAACATTGAAAAATCGCTGAGGTGAGAAAAGTCCGGAGCGGCCCAGGAAGAAGACAGAAACAAAATGAGGGGGAGTTGTATTCAAGGCCCTTGAAGCTGTGGTATCTTCTTGCAACTGAGACTGCGTGACAGATAAACTATACCAACTGAAAACGTCTGGCTCCTGTAGCGGTCCTGGAGAGGTGGCGCCGAATCATCGCAGGGCTGTCAGGTTTGGAGGCAGCTTGCCGAGTCCTTATC